ATCCAAAATTGGACGAGGTAGAATATTTTATTCATCGCACTTTACTGGAGTACACTGTAGAAGGGTCAAAAATACTTGGTGGAAATTCCCATAAATTTCCACTTATCTTGGCTGGCGATTTCAACATTAACTTCGCTGATAAAAAATCAGAGCGACTAACAACGTTTCTCTTAGAAAAATTAAATGTACGTATAAATAATGATCCACAAGAATCTACTACAAAATATGAGACCCCCATCGACGCCGTATTTTCCAGATATTTGGAGAATATTAAATCTCAAACTTATATTTCATATTTTAGTTATCATAAGCCTATAGTTTCTATGATACAAATTCCTAAATAACTAGAATAATAAAAAAATTTAAAATTATATCAACTTATTATTTATTTAATATGCAATAGCTTTATCGCGGCAGTCCCCGAGTGCCACTTGACTTTTTTATATATTGTATATTTAACTTGTAATATTGTGTGCTTGAAACGTCAAAAAAAACCACCAAATTTTTAAACAATATTATTTATTTGAAATTACTACGTAAACATGTAAAATACACTCACTTGATTACCCTAAACTACAGTCTACAATAGTTTTATTTAACTAATGGCCTTGGTTGTTGATGAAAAATAGTTTTATTTAATATTTATTATTCACAGTGTCACCTTCTACAATATTTATATATATTTTATTGTAATGTAACAAAATCCCGTTCCTCCAGTGGAAAAGCAAGTAATTTAGTCATTTTATTCGGACATACCCCTCTAAGAGATAGCCTGCAATTCGGACAGACCCCTCCAAAAGACGGCATGCAATTTGGACATTCCAATTTATATTTATTTTTTTGGCTTGCTTGTCCAAACTCCAAATAATAAATATTGAACGATACAGTTAAAAAAAGAATAAAGTGAAAATATTATAGATTTTAAATATAGTAAGAATGTGTGATATAGATAACACAAAGATAATTATATTTATATTTTAATGCCAAGTTATATAAGGCATTATAATTTATTTAATAGTTCAATACAATTTAATGGACCAATCATGACCACTATTATAGCTCACGATTGAATAATTTAATGTTTAATGATTGTATAATATGCTACCCATCAGCATTTTTAATCATAAACTTTAATATAGAAGTTTGATGTTCATTTAGACACGCGTGTAAAAAGTTCAAAGGTTTCACCAATAACAATAAACTATGTTTATAGATTATATAATATACAATAACAAAAAGTTTAGCTTTAATCCCGAACTATTTTATAAGTTAGAACAAAATGGAGAAACGTTATTTGACACCATAGAACAGATAATATTAAATGCTATTTATTTCAAAATGTCATTGTTTACTATCTTTATGCCACGAACAAAAGCTACGTCTTATTTTGAAATTTGTTTTGTGTACAAATATTTAATTATAAAAATGTTGTTCATTAGTCAATATATAGTCAAAATTACATTTTCGTTCGTCACATCATAATAGTTGGACGCGTTTCATTTTAAACCTACTATAAATGAAAATTAACAGTCTTAGATAAAAAATGAAGTATAAAATTAAAATTAAATCGAAAACTTAGACGTTTATACCTACTATTTTAAGTTTCAGGTTTTAAAAGTAAAGTGTACCATTCGACCATCTGTATACATAATGCATTTAGAAAAGAATTTATAAGTCGCTGTTGTTACTTGGAAACCCTATTCGTAGAAAGTCTATTTCTATTAACAAATAACAAAAAAAAAAAAACAACAAAAACTAATCGATCTTTGGTATATTATATTATATTGTAGGTAGAGAGTGAAATGTCAATACGCCATATAGATAGTTACTTATCGTAAGACGTGATATGCAATAAATATTCGCCAGTATGGCAGTATACATATATAGGTACAAGAACGGGGACGATGTTTTGGATTTGGGTTAAGCATAACGTGACCTCATGTGTATGCGTATATAAGTAATATCGTGTATGTGTTTCGAGTTTAGACTTCAGAGGGATTTTCCGGGAAATTAAATCTATTAAAAACGCGGACGGAAGATTCGTCTGGATATCTATTGGCATAATATGTGTGTACGCGGTGACGGGCGGCATAATGCCGAAGCCCGAGGCTGTGATTGGCCGTCTATAGCGGGCGGGCGGAGCGGTGGGGAAAATAATCAGCAAAAAAATGAAAATCCAATTCAGCGGTGGTCTATTTTCCTTCCCCTCTGTCAACTCACACACGTGCGCCTGAATCACGCCACACCGAGTTTTTGTTCGAACACCGGTGACTGGTGAGTAAATGTAGTAGTATTATGTAGTGTTGTTTTAAGATCCATAACTATTATTATTTCATTCCGATAACTACCCATATTCATTATATAACGAAGGCAATTTAACGACACTTTAGGAAAAAATACATAAAATTAAAACATCGATTAAAAATGACTTGCAGGTGATAACATGTACAGTCACTATACTCATTACTGTTGATGGATGTTGCGTAATCACGAAATCACGTTGAACAATTATTAAACATATTATTATTACGTAGATGTGTAGATCGTCATCCCACTACTTTGAATACTACTAGACCTACTCCTAGAGTTAAATTACTTATTGAAAAAATACAAAAATAACCAAAATTTTAACGTGCATCTCATATAGAGTTTTTAAGGTTTACGTTAAGTAAGTGGTTAGATATATAAATATGTTCATTTTTGAATTTGTACTGTATGTATATATACCTACCTATATATTATATTTTAATGCTTATAACATTTTGTTCGAAGGAGATGTCAAAAAAGGTTATAAAACTCCTGTAAAGAGACATCGATATCTTTAATTTTCATATTAATAGTTTTAATGATTACTCTAGAATAAGTTATTCTAGCCGATCTACGTAAATGCTTTAATTCACCTAATATAGCCACTATTACATTTCAACGCTTTGTTGCATCTGTCCAAATAGGTTGTAACTACCCAACTATAGGTTACAACTGTCCAACTATAGGTTACAACTGTCCAACTATAGGTTACAACTGACCAACTAGGTTTCAACTGCCCCTACTGGAGTGAGCAGGCTGCAGGCACAGTGGACAGTCATTAATCTTTAATGGGGCTGGAGCGTATCATATTTTAAGGAGTACCTAATATTTAAACAATTAATATGAATGTACATTTTGGCTATGTCTATGACACATAATAAACGAACATTAGTGTGTATTACCAAAAATCGCTGTCATGCCGCGTCGGGCAACGGCGTCGGATGCAACTCTCGCACACGCACTCATATGTAAATAATTTGCAAAAAATGAATTATATATTCTTGTTTACATAACTATAAAAACTACTAAAATTGAGAGTAAAATAAACATAGCTCCTGAAGAGTAGGATAGTAATTTCAAAAAAATGGTCGACATTTTAAGCTTCTGGACAATGTTTTTCATGAATCAATTGTTTGCTTTAAAATCAGTTGTGCCCAAAATAAATGCAAATCTAATGGAATTATTTCAAGGAAATTAAAAAAAATAACATCTTAATTCGAAGGTCGTTTAAAATTGAAAATTGAAAATCGACCTCCTAAAAATGTTTTGTCAAAGAATTACATACATATATTAAAATTTAAAATCGGATATTCCGAAGTATGCGTGTAATTTACCACTGCTTATTGGTCTAAACCGTATGAAAAATGTGTGTGCTTCGATCCCCTTAAGGCTTAAATTATAATAATACCTATGTATATTATTATTAATATTATCTTTTGCAATCATGAGCTATTTTTATCCACCGCCGTCCTCTATATTTTACCGACTATATACCGTGTTACAAATATTATTTTCACTGCTGAAAATTATATGAAAGACCGCATTATTTAGGTATATCACATGATACGCTCTTACAAGAATGTGTCATCTCCGCGAAATTTCCCCCTTGTCCCCCTCGAGGCCCAGCTGCTTCCTTCAAGTGCACGTAAAAAGTTGGCCATTATTCTAAAAATACAATTTAATCAAAGGTATACTACAGCACACAAGATAGTTGCGTCAAGCGAATTTTTCCACCGTATAAGCCACACACACACGCAAGAATATAATATGCGCAGGATTCTCGGTGACGGTGGCGGCGCAGCGTATAACAAGCGCGCGGCGTCGGTCCGAGCTGGCCCCGCGACAAGGCCGCCCGACCACCGCGGCGCGTCTATATAAACCTTAGGCTGGGGCCGCCTCTGCGTACACGCGACCTGTCTCTGGCGTGACCGACGTATAACGCTCCAGCGGCATTCGTCTGCCGAGCCCGTCCGCCACCGTTGCGCGCTCTCATCTCTCTTCGAGCTTTGCACGCCGCTCCGCACTTAGTCGAAAAAAAAATTCATCATAAATTTCGGTACACCCCAATAAAAATATTCTATAATAATCGTATAATATATTAATATTATTAATCGCGTACGATTTATATACCGGCAAAACCGCAGTCGTCCGACGGCCAAGTCGCCTGGCCGTCCTACACGTCTCGATTCGTGGGGGAATGCCGTCCGGACGCCGGATCCGCAGAGCGCGTACGCTCTCTGAACGACTGAGACACTTGCTGCAAAGTATCCTGGAACTGTACGAACGCGCGTCCGCAGCGTATCACCGGATGCGAGCAGGGCCCGTACATCCGGAGAATCACATATTGGATCGTCTGCGTTTCACCTCTTGGCAATCTCCGGTGACCGGCCGTGAGAGGCGCATGTGGGACCGCCGGACGAAAGATTAGAAACGACGGGTCGGCCGAATTGGGCTGACCTGCGCCGCCGCTGGGAAGCGGAGGCAACGCGATTGTCGGACTCGCGACAACACCGCCGAGCGGCACGGGACGACGACTAGGAGGGCTACTGCAGACGACGACGATCACGACGACAGCGAGGGTGACGGAACCGACGACGAGGAAAACGGAGCCGACGATAAGGACGAAAAGGACAAAAAAGACGACGACGACGCCGATAGTGGCGATTACTGGGAGATACAAGTCTAAGACCATCATGGAATATACGTGTTTGATGTGCCAAGTTCGCGAAATTTCCGTGATCTACGTCAAAGTTCCCAACACGTCGTTCAACTTGCTCGTCTCTATTGTTCAACGCGATCGTCCCATATACATGCTCGTGAGTATACCTAAATTCAATAATAATAATAATAATGAATAATAATTACTATGATGATATTGTTGTGATATTAAATGAGTATGTGACGATCGTTACATAGGTCGGGTTTCCGGCTCAAATCGAGGTGAATAAAATATTCTTGTCGAAAATATTATTTTATATAGTAAACTGAGTAGGTATATTGTAACAGTTATAAAAATTTTAAATATGTAGGTAATCATATACCGAAGTGGCAAAGTTTGCCCTTTTAAAAAATAAATAACTTTCGAGTATAACTTATTGTAATGCATGAACGCAAAAAATGCTTAATCGAATAGTTTTAAAAATATTTCGAAAGGGTAGGATTCTTGTTTTGGTAAAATTAACATATAGGTACCAAAAATAAAATGTTTTTATAAAATATACGAACTAATAATTTTTATTTCTCATCATTCGACAGTCAATTTATAATATATATTTTAACCAATTTACTTCTAAATATTAAAAAAAATAACTCTAAATTGTTTCTATTAAGTCCCCGGATGATGTTGTAAAGTAAATTGTTAAAAAAACATTTAAATAATTTCTAAGACAACCATTTATTTTATTTAATATTGAAAAGTAAAAAAAAAAGAATTAAATTATTCTATAATTAATATTAAGGATCGGATTTTTCCATTCAAAATTAAATTCAATAACATGTATTTCTATGATACGTTTATCAGCCAATGAGCCATATAATTACAAACGAAATATTTTCGATGGCGAAACACGAAAATTTCACTTATTTCTATCGATAATGTAGTAGGTAAATGTGGCTAATGTTATACTATTAAAGACATTTTCAAAATGTTCGTAAAATTCATTATAAAATTATGCAAGATTAAGTACATCTAATGAAAAAACTAAAAAATGTATAATATTTAGAAAGAATAAAAAAAAAACAAAAAAAATCAAGTTTTCTAAATTACTGATACGAAACGAATTTATAAAAAATAATTATTATCTTTTTATAACATTTGACACCAACAAAGCATTTGCTAAAAATTCGAAGCAATATTAATATTAATATAATTTATTTGTCAATAATAATATAATATGAATATTAAATATAACATAATATCATGTCATATAAAATTAGTGAAATAATATTAGATTCAGAAGTAGAATAATAATTGTAGAAATGTATTATATTGTAGACTTTATGTCAGTCTAAGAAGTAAATGTCTATATTAATTTCTTTGATTAATGTACCTATACAAATTAATAATAATATCCTCAATTATGCCTTCAACAAATACAGGTATTTCAATTTCAATTTTTTATTGATCGAGAATAAATGCTTTAAATAGAAATGTATGTAGGTGTACAACAAAATCTTGATTCAGGTTTCGGAAATAATTAGGTAGCTATTAAAAGATAGAATATTATAATATTCTGCATTAATATCTGTCGTGTATTATTCTATAACCATAACTATCGCAAAATCGGTAAGTACAGGGAAATTGAAAAAAATAAATAATCATAGCACCCCGAGTTTTCTAACAAAATTCAAAACGAACGAATTTACCACCGCGTTGTAAGTATTTTAAAATCAAAAAAGCTGGCCAAAGCCCAAAAGTCCATACTCCTTAATATAAATATTTTTTTTTACCTAACAATTTCAAGTAGTCAAGTTCCCGTCTTACACCACTATGATGATATGATAGCACCAAAAAAGTTACAGAAAATAATGAATTACTTGAAATATTTAATGTCGAATGTGTAAGTATTCATTATTTTATATGACTTAGATAAATTATGGAATTTGTAATACATTGTTATACATGTAAAACATTTTGTAACTCTTATTACTTTGTTGACATTATTCTTCAAATTCTGAATTCTTGTCTTCTATTATAAAACAATTAGACGTTCAAATTAAATATTAGTCCATATTAAGGGTCTTAAATAAGTATCATTATAGAGATACTACCTATATTACTAATTATCTAATCGTGTCTACAAGATAATGTAACAATTAGTTACATTTATCCAGAAGACTTCCTCATTATACCAATATACTATTATTACCAAATTAAAATACGCATTCTATACATAATATTGTGTTAAATCTAGATTAAATGTTGATTATAGTTGAACAATTATATTTATGATATCTAAATCTGTGTTTACTTAAGAAAACAATACTACCTAAATATTATTATGTTTATCGAAATCGAAAATATATGAAATGTATAAACAAAAAAAAGTTAACATAATGGTTAAATATGTCATTAATGGTGGAAAATCACAGTATCATAATATGACATCAATAAATTGAATGGATCTTAAAAAAATAGAGTACGTATATTTTGGTTTTGGCCAGCTGTTTTCGATTTTAAGACACTATACGTCGTCTTGTTATTATTTGCCACAGTTGTATTACGTAAGGGAGAATGCTATGGTTTAGGTTTAACAAGAGACAAACAGACAAACTATACACTTAAATGATTTTACTTGAAAACTTGAGTACACTGATGATTTTGTGCAATTTTTTCAGTCAATTTGCTTTTTGAACCTTTTGATGCGTCGTCTCAAGAAACGTGCAGCATGCCCCAGTAGCAGAAGTAGCAGGAAGATTCCAAAAAATAAGACACTACCACTTCGAATGATCCGCCGCAACCGCTTTCTTAAAGTTAGTTATTTCATGGATTATCTACGCTATAATATCGATGTATTATACAAACAAATGTTTGTGCGATATACGTACACTAAGTTGCGTTCACGTGGTCGGCTTGTTAGAAATCCTAAGCTATTTGCACTCTTCTACTTTTTCAGATAAAAAACCACTGATGATTACCCGTTCTCAGATGGTACTCCCCTCTAGGAAACACAATAATATATTTAAACAAGTTGATTAAAAAAAATAAAAACTTAAACTAATTAACCACTATATACATTTTACATTTAATAATTATATAATTATATTAATAATATCATTGCTTTAATATCATATTTTTGCTTTTAGTAGTAACGCTTTGAGAGCACTATGGGTAGGTACTTAAACAATATTTAATACTTTTAATCCATAATATATAGGACATTAGTCAAATTAGATTGCTTCGCGTAGTTCATTTAAATTTTATTTGAGAAATTATCTAGATGGTTATAACTTATAAGCTATATTTAAACCTTATACATTACATATATTAGCGTTATTATTATAATAATTTAGGTTATTTAGTTATTATGCCTACATGGCTTATTTTAGTGTGTATTGTATTTTCCATAAAAACAAACGTAGTTTTATTTAAGAATTAAAATATTAAACAATACTACAAATTACTACAGATCTTATTTAAACATATTATTGGAGGACATTTTCAATACAATTGTAATTGTAATTATTAGGTATTTAATGGTACACGATCTTCAGTTCAAATTAATAAATATATATACTATACAATTTTATTTTATTTACCTACTATATTAAAGGATCAAACTAAAAAATATAAATTTGATATTCGGAAACCTAAAAAGTAAAATCTGTTTTTTAATCAACTTAAAAATTGCTCATTCCTAAATATTCGGTATAATAGTGAACGTCCAATTTACATTTTACATGCGCTCAGTTGGTTAATGTTTATACACGTATTTATATCAAAATAATGTACAAACTTTGCAACCTATTTATTTATACAGTGCCTATATATTATAATAGTCGATTCTGTCAAAAGTAAAACTCTCATTTTATCAAAATATATTACCGTTTTTGGATTATTTTTTTTTTTTTACAACATTAATATCTATGGCAGCAACATTTTTGAAAGAAAAAATGTTATTTTTACTATTATTGTTTATCGTTTTAGTTTTTAATCATTTTTACTACTTTAATTACGGCATTTTTAACTTCATATTCCAAAACGAAATATTTTTCTGAGAATTAAAAAAAAATTAATAGTTAATTAGTACTGAAAGTTTTGATTATCGGAGTAGTGAATCAATATTGCGTGGTATATGCCTGCGTCACTCCCAAACTACGTGAAAAATATATTTCCTAAAACTTTAATAATTTTCTTAAAAATGAGTGTTTACTTTTAAAAGAACTTAAGAACCACATATGTAAATAATATTTTAGACCCATTATAATAATTTCAAAATATGTGTGACATAATATATATACCTAATAAGATTTAAGTTGATGTTGTTGTATTTTATAGTATTGTTGTATTGTCGAAATAAACTAATATATTTAACACAATAGAAATGTGTAATCAACAGTTTTCAAACGTGATTTGTCTATATACCTATTGGCTATTACATTTTAATCGGCATAAATGTCTCTTGGTTTTTGCAAGTGATAATTTTATAAAGATGTATTGAAGTACTATATTATGTTTATATTTTTGGTGTCTGCTATCACTTTTTGGAACAGTGAAAATACAACTTCGAAGATACTTTTTAGTAGAAAATTGGATATATTATTAATACTTGAGGTGAGGAGTGGGGGACAAAAAAAAAAAAATTATGGATAAACGGAAATTTGTATGGAAGACTGTTCTTGACAAAATGGTTTTTTTTTTTTTGAAACTATAAAAATAAATAAATAGAGGCTTAAGATTACCCCACACATGCATATTATGTTAGACGGAGAATCTACCAAATGTTTATCATAGTAAATATTAACTCAGGTAGATAATAGGTACAATTTGTAATTCAATTAAAACCAAACCTAAATGTAAGGATAGTATCACAAATATTATTATCGCTCTTTGGTATTTTACGATATTTTAACATTTAAGCAAGTATGAACATTTTTATATTTTAATATTTGATATACTCATAACTCAATTGGAAATTAAAATATCGTACAAAACCAATGATTGAGCACAGATTATGTTTCACCTTTTAAGTATGATAATAGGTTAATTTGCTCTAATATTAAAGAAAAAAACACAAATTAAGTTCTACTGAACTATAAAGTATTTGATATGTTTTACATTTTACATTTCCATTTAAAATTTTCAACATTTTTTAGACTTTTCAAAATATTTTGGGTCCTTTTTGATATTTATAGATATTTTAAATGTTCTCCTTTTAGGTTTTGAGTGGAGCTATAAATATATTGATTTTACAATGAAGTGTGCTTTTTTTTAATATTTTATTTTAATTGTTTAAAGTTGTATTTGTGTCATGTCCCTTTTTAGGTCAGTAAAACAATTTTAGGTCAAATGTTTTTTGACAAAATCGATTTGATTTTTGTGTACTTAACTCTAAAACAAATTATATAATTTTCACTGCATATTAGTTTTAAATTGATTTTGGTGTACTTACTCTAAAAAATTATCGTATTTTTAAAAAATCTTTTTAATCGATGATTTGAAAATTGAATACAAGATTCCTCATAAGTGTGCGTCTAACGTTTGAAGTTTAAATTTTTACGACATTGGATATTTAATTGATTTCTCATGCAGCGAATTCCTAATTTAGTTATAATCAAATACCAATAACACAGTTTTGTACATTTTATATGTAATCAACTCTATCTCTATATTAATAAAATTTTCAAAATACTTTGACTAGTTTTGAGCTGTTGAAGGATATTTTCAATATTCATTTTTTTAAATTTTATTTTCTATAAATGTCAATGAAATTTATTTATTGGGTCAAAAAACGTGAACATTTAATAAAAGTTTCAACTGATATATTGTTTCAATAGCAGTTAAAAAATATTAAAATAAATGGCACAAGTTTTTTTTATATACATTTAAAGTTCTATTTTTGACAAAATTTATCAAATTTAAAATTTAAAACAATGTTCCACGTAAGTAAGTGATTCTGTAACCAAAAATCTGAAATATATAAAAGCCAGTTTATTTATATAGTTATTTTATGTTCAAATTTGGATTAAATTACATATAAAATAACGATTTTAGTTATTTTGTTGTAATATTATAATATTAATTCAACTTAGTGACTACCTTATTAATAATAAGTAATAACAATAAGTATAAATACAATGTAAAATATCCACACTGACAAACCGCCCTCGCTCAGAATCGTTTTTCGTATACAATGATATTATATAATTGAATTCAAAATTTAATATCATCCATTATACAGTGACCTACTTTTAACCTACTGTACAGCAAAGCGACATCCACTTACCCACCTTTTTCAAGTTTATTTTAATTTATGAATAGTATAAAGTTTGTTTGTGAGTATAACAGCTTTAAAATGCAATACAAGGTTCATTATAACCAGGGTTTGAAACCGATTGAAAAATTTCTGTTTCGGTTTCGATTTTGTATACTGGTTTTTATTTTTTTCGATTTGGTTTCAATTTTTCAATACCAGTATTAGGAAATTTCGATTTTGGTTTCGATTTTGTATATCTGTTTCCATTATTTTTCGGTTTCGGTTTTGAATTTAATATCGGTTTCCATTTTTTTCAGATTTTGTTTTTGATTATGTTTTTGGTTTTAGTTTTTAAAAGGTTTATCTGCATTATCATTATATTATTTTAATGACCAGGGCTTGAAAGCGAAAATATATTTCCTGATTTCGATTTCGGTTTCGGATATCGGTATTTATTTTTTCTGATTTCGTTTTTGGTTTTGAATACTGGTTTTGAATTTTTCCGATTTTGATTTCGGTTTTGATTACCGCTATTGGTTTTTTTCAATTTGGTTTTCGGTTTCGGTATCGATTTTTTAACGGTTTTAAACTCTATTCAAAATCGGTATCAAGTATCAGTTTCAAACTCTTAATTTATAAGTTGTTCTTACTACAAATTATAAATAAGAAAACGCGTAATCACAATAGAATTTAAACGCAAACTAACAATATTTTAGTAATTTTGTTGTAATTAATAAAATATTGTTCGTAGAGATTTGAAACTTTTTGCTACTAACTATATTATAAATTGTTTTTAAAAAAGTCAACTTAATCAACTTTGTTACTACATAGAAAAATATATTTTCAATAATTTCTAACCTATCTATATAAATTTATTTGTGAAGTTTTAGAAAAATAGCCTGATTGACCATCTCCGCTCAGATTCGTTTTTCATCATGATTTATCATTGAATTAATATTTAACACGCATTGCAGTAAATTACTCCATGAGTCAGTACGGGCGTATACCTTCTAGCTCATAGATAATAGAAGAATGGATAGGCCATGTTAAATCATACAACGCAAGTGGTCGTTGTCTTTTAAGTATGAGAGAGAATGCAGTTAGATTATGTTCAAATATAAAAATTAAAATAGATAACATCCATTGTTTTGTTCATAGATAATACCTATATTATCTATATTATCTATGTTTTGTTCTGTGATAAACTGATAGCATTAAATTATTATCTATCTATTGCCTTTTATAACCTCAAAATATTTTTCCAATCAATTCCCGTGTAATAAGGTTGCATCCATTCTTCTATTAACATAGACATATAGCAGAGCAACTTCCTAGGATTTTTTTAATGAAACGAAGAAATAGTTAGAGACTCGTTAGCGCCCCTGGCAAACCTAGGAAAATGCGCCTTTTTAGCGATTAAAAAATTGACGAAAATACGGAATGATATTTTTTAACATTTATTTTTTATATATAATTAGGTAATTCAATATTATTTAACTATCAGTTATCATGATAATGTAAATTTCAAACTTTAAAAATTTTCTTTTCTTGCTTTAAGGCTAGAGAATTCATTGATGATTTCGTCATATGAAATTTGTTTAGCAAATTCATGTTCTATGGATAAAATTGCCATGCTTGTTAGTCTCTCTTGTCCAATAGTTGATCTTAAGTAATTTTTAATATAATATTAATATATTTATATTT